GAAAAAACATATTTGAAATTTGGAAAAAGGTACTTGAATGAGATGTCATTTCCTTCTAAAAAATGTGTTCTCTGCTTGATTTTATCATTTTATATACAGGGTTCGTGAAAACAATTTTTTTTTCAAATGGAACCCCCTGTATATTATCGCATATTTCGAAAGAGCTATCTCTCCTGATTTCGAAGATATATACTTTTTATATATTCTATCGAGGGCTTGACGAAATATCAGCAAAATTAAATATTAATATTTGGTCCAAGTTAGCTATGGTTGAAATAGAATGAGATGATGAATAAGTGAATTGACATTTGGCCAACATTCCAGTGACATAAGTGCGCACAATTTCGACAATTTTTTCACGATGCCATATCCACTGGAACAAAGAAGAGATATTTTGGAGTGCTATTTTTCAGTTAATAAAAATCTTGCTGAAACACTTACACTTATACTTACTTATATTTAATCTTTCAGATATGACAAGACAAAATTCAATCCGCTTCTCATTATCATCATAATTGAGTTTGTGGCATGGTCTAATTCTGAAATCCCTATATTTATATTTCTTTAAGGTATGTTGAACAAAATAATAGCTGAAACCAAACTCTCTCACTGCATTTCTTATTGACCGTGAAGGATCCTCAACAAAATACTGGATTACAAGAAGTTCCTCGTCTTCGTTGTCTTGCCTTCTCAATATTCTCTTGATATTCGACAAACTGGAAGTTCTGTCAAATTTAGCAGCCAAATACTTTACATAATTCTCACTTGGTAATCTCCTGCCTGGATAACTCCTCATAAACTTATGAAGTGTTTCAGCAAGATTTTTATTAACTGAAAAATAGCACTCCAAAATATCTCTTCTTTGTTCCAGTGGATATGGCATCGTGAAAAAATTGTCGAAATTTTGCCCACTTATGTCACTGAAATGTTGACCAAATGTCAATTCACTTATTCATCATCTCATTCTATTTCAACCATAGCTAACTTGGACCAAATATTGATATTTAATTTTGCTGATATTTCGTCAAGCACTCGATAGAATATATGAAAAGTATATATTTTCAAAATCAGGAAAGATAGCTCTTTCCAAATATGCGATAATATATAGGGGGTTCCATTTGAAAAAAAAATTTTTCTTCACATACCCTGTATATGAAATAATAAAATCAAGCAGAGAACACATTTTCCAGAAGGAAATGACATCTCATTCAAGTAACTTTTTCCAAATTTCAAATATCTTTTTTCCTTTTCGAGATATCAGGTGTTGAAGTCGAGAAATCCATAGTCAATCACCCTGTACAGGGTTAGTGGAGCTCAATGTCTCAGCACTATCAGATGAAAGAGAAAAACGATGGAAAAAATGTGAAAAGAGGTTCTTGAATGGTATATTTTTAGCCTGATTTTTGGGAGTACCTATATTTTTCCATAAACATTTCACTATTAGAAGGTGAATGGAAAGTGAATAAAAAGTGAATAAAAGTACTTACAATATTATAGGAGGATTTTTTTCCTTAAAGATGAATATCTGCGTCGCCCAGAATGTACACCTTCATTTTTTCTTTTCTGGAGAAGGAGAAGCTCCAAAGGCAAATCAGAAAAGACAATATTATGATGTATACCTCTTGAGTTTGAGAATTTGAACTTGTAGTTTTAACCTTCAAAATGTTTTTTCCGTACCACATCAAAATTGACATTCCGCTTTTTACTTTTTGTTTCAGTATTTTCACTTTTCTTTGCAATAGAATAGGCCTTCTCGAATGAAATAGTTTGTGGGTTTCATTATCAATAAACTATGACACATACCCACATGCGAGCTGGAAGTTGTAAGCAAATCAATGTCCATATGAAAAACATTGTCCCTCGCTTTGTCCTTAGAATCCAAGTTATGAATATCCACAGACACGTCCACAGACACATCCTGAAAATAAATCACTATAGTTTTTCAAAGAAACTGATCAATTTCCAACTTACCCATGGAGGACAATGTGACAATGTTTTGCTTGTTTTGCATCCGAAGGCAGCACAATATAAATAACCATTGCTTATTAATTCGAAATCACAAATCTTCTCAACATTATTCAATGCCCACCAACAAATTCAGTCCTTCTGTAGAAACAGAACACGCCAAATTTAGCGATATTTCACATAACAAAAAGCAATGAAGTTTTGTCTTTACTATTTTGCCTGTTTGGATGAGAAAAAGTACTTTTTTCTACAAATGTCAAAAAATGACAAGGTTCGCGCATTGATAACAAATTGCGAAGTGACACATTTTCTCAGTTTCCTACGTTACCATGATACCTTGCACAAAACAATGCGCGAAGTAGAACAGTGCGCGAAGTACCTATTTCGCGCATTGTTATGTAAAATATATGAGATATTTATATTTCAACTTCATGGTCCTCAATCGAGCAAACATCCACGAAATCATTTATTCCTGAATGTTCAACAATAACTTTGTTTTATCTCTTGGAGCGCACGAAAGGAAATTTCTATTTTCTTCGTGGAACATCGTGCGTACCTAGGGAGGATAGGGGGAAGCCTCTTAAGCCAGTTCAACACTATTTTTCATGTCAAGCTGAGCAAATTTTCACTTTAGAACTATATTTTCTGACGTTTGTAGAAAAAATTTTGTTTGCAACTCGAGTGCGAAATACTTTGGTCATCTCGACTATTTTGTTAACTCGGCTACGCCTCGTTGAAAAAATCAGATCTTGATCTCCAAAGTAGCATTTCGCGCTCTAGATACAAAAATAACTATTTTTTTTTTTCTAATCGCTCGGTGCGCACGAAAGGAAATCCCTATAATGTTCAAAGAACATCGTGCGTTCCTAGGGAGGATAGGGACAGGAGGTAGGTATTGGAATTTTTTTGAACTTTTGGAGATTATATGTTGTTGGGAATACTTCCACAGGCAATGAATTCCAGAGCCTAGCCGTTCTATGGATGAAGGAGTCTTGATAAAGTGCTATTCGACATCTTTCGAGGTTGACAACGAAAGGATGTGCTGACTAGGCTTGTCTAGTTCGTCTGATTGGTATTGCTAGTTAAGGGATGATAGCAGAGATTTCCGAAGAACATTTCCCGTGGAAGTATCGATAGAAAAGTGAAAGGTCGCCGACCTTTCTACGGTGTTCCAATGATGTCAAAGAGTGAGTGAGTGTGGCGTCACCCACCAGGCGAATGGCTCTTCTCTGGATGGAATCTAAGAGCATAAGCGTATGTTTTGGTGCTGAACCCCATATGTGGGAACAGTATTCTAGAACAGGCCGTATCTGCGCTTTGTAGATCATGAGAAGCTGTTGAGGTGTAAAGTAGCTTTTCGCACGGAACAAGAATCCGAGTTTTTGTGAAGCAGCTTTTGCGATGGATCTGACATGATTATCCCATGAAAGAGTGTTGCTGATGAAAATACCGAGCATAGATATGGTGGGCTTGGTGGGGATGGTGGAGCCAGACATCACAATATCGGGCATACTGAGTTCCGCCTTTCTAGAGAAAATGCAGGCTTGAGTTTTGGTGGCGTTGAATTCAACTAGGTTGTTTGTTCCCCAGGCTGTGATTTCAGCAAGATCTTCATTGACAACATTGACCTGCCTGCGCCGTGAGTTCTTAGTTTCCTGGGAAGAAATGAGAATTCTGGAAGAGAACGCAGTATGGAGGGTACTATCATCTGCAAAGCTGTGGATGAAGCAAGTTGTTACTCCCAACAGATAATTGATATGAAGCAGGAATAATGTTGGTGCCAAAATTGATCCTTGTGGAACGCCGGAATTGATGCGAATGGTATCAGACGATACACCGTCCACCACCACGTGAAGCGATCTGCCTGAAAGAAAACTCGATAAGAGATGGCATAGCTGAGGTGGTAAGCCGTATGATGGTAGTTTGTGGAGGAGTCCTTCGTGCCAAACACGGTCGAATGCTTTCGATATGTCCAACGCGACAGCTAGAGATTCCCCGTGTTTTTCTATTGAAGATTGCCATAAATGGTTGACGTAGGCAAGTAGATCTCCAGTAGATCTTCGGTGGCGAAAGCCGTATTGTCTATCATTGATGATTCCTGAGCTCTCCATATATTTGATAAGCTCAATATCGATGGCTTTCTGTATCACTTTGGAGATTACTGATAACAGGGCAATGGGCCTATAGTTGTTGGGCAGGTTCTCCTTTCCTTTTTTGTTGATTGGTTGGACTCTGGCCATCTTCTGGCATGATGGAAAAACACCCGACCTGTACGAAATGGTAAACAACTTGCAGAGAATCGGTGTTAATTCTGGTGCACATTTTTTGAGGATAATGGGAGGAATTCCATCAGGACCGTTAGCCTTATTCGTTTTGAGACCAAGCAAAATTCGTCTGATAGTGCGTTGACGGAAGACGATTTCGGGCATTCGACTCTCAACGGGTGGAATGTCTGGCGGCAGTTTTCCGTGGGAATCTAAAGTAGAGTTTGCTGCGAACATCTCTGCAAAAATATTTGCTTTGTCCTGCGATGTTGTTGCTAATTCATTCATTGAATAGAAGAAGATGTATTCACCAATCCGCCATTAAACACCACGAGTGTGAATGAGACAGGTTACCGTAACGCGAGCTATCTTTGTTGCAGCTGCCCCTGACAAAGCCCCCCTTGCAGGTGTTTATATTGAGTTCATTGCTAATTGACACAGCTGACTGGCAAAGGGCGCCAATTTCAAGAAAACAATGGAACACTTTTATCTATGGCCTACTCTCTCGTATGGCCATGTACCCCGGAATTAAGTATCTATGTAAAATTGAAAAATTGAATGAAATATTGGGTGTTCCATTCGGAATAATGATGTTCCTGTCCATTTCCAGTATACCCGGAAGGTCTACGGCACTGACTATATTTCGAATAGATTGTACATATTGTCTCATATGTCCGAGTTTTCATTCGAATGAGAGCATTGAAAACATTTCCAATACCCATACTAAAAGCTTCACGGAAATTATACAGGTTTGTACTTATATTCTTTCAGTTGTGATGTTCAATATGCCACTTCGATACCTTTTGCTGTTCTTGATATTCCATGAAGCACTACCATACTACTTCTACAACCCTTTGACACACAGTATACTGCGCCTTCCATCTTTGCAAGGCAAAAAGGATGGTTACGAACTCATTCCACCACCAAGAAGTCGAATTATGACACGAGGTAAGTAATATATCGAAGACTGGAACCTTTGGCACGATAATACACTACACTGTTTTACCACTAACCAAACCGATTTTTTAACGCCTCGACACGTGTTTCGCTAACTATGTTAGCATCTTCAGGTCCGAACTTGGGAAAATTGTATGTTTCATTGTTATGTCAAAAAAGTTCACTTCGTGATCACTTTTCTCGAAAAATTCCATCAGATTCAGAAAGGTCCGACAAAATTCTATGAGAACTGCTCTTCAATTTACACAACACAGTTTGACCGGTTCAATAAAAAAATATGGAACAAAATCGTTCCAATGAATTTTAAATTTCGACCTGGCTGATAACTGTCAACTTTCAACTGGATTCATGTGAATTGGTTTTTTCTACATATTTGTTGAAGAATCGACAGAAAGATAGACGAGAAGAAAAAACACGATATTTTTTATCGAAATTCCAGATAGATATTATTATTAATGACTTTGTTTTATGGGTGTCGCTTGAAGTGTTACTCATCGAAAAAATCTTGATTGATGAGATATAACATCACTTCATTCAACATTCTCCTTGCTTCTTTGCACACTCTGTTAAATTCACTAATGCTCATTACTCCTCAAGGCACTTTCGACTTGAAAGACTTGAAGAGTCGAGGAAATTGCACTTGAGCTATGATCATCTAGTCACGGGAGACCCTGTATTATTTGTACAATGCTTTAACAAATAAATCTTATCAATTTCAGGCCACAATACTAACTCCTATTGCCCAGAATCAAGATTCAGATGCATCAGCCCTTACAGCAAAGCAGAAACCTTTCAGTTCGAATGTGAACGAGACTCGCAATGTCCATCTTCTTACAAATGTTGTCCACAGAAGTGCTTCCAACACAAAATCTGTGTCGAGGCCAGTTTTCAAGCAGAGCAACCAAATTTTTCTTACCATCATCCTAGACAGCTTATTCAATCATCAAATACCTTGAGCGGAAACCCTGGAATTTGCGAGATCTATAACTTCAAATGTCCAAAACCTTTTCCTTATGCTTCAACAGCCATGTTCAGATGTGTAAACGATAAACAATGTCCGAATACTTTCAAATGTTGCCAACAAAATTGCTTTGCTCATAAAATTTGCTCGAGGACTATCCCTGAATCAACACAATACGTCGAAGAAATGAGGGAGAAAAAGGAACAAGAAGATAATGAGTCTATTGCAACGGAAAGAGTTATCACTGTGGAGGAGGAAGCTGCTGAAGTCGAGACAGAACAACCAGTAGAATTACCAACTAAACTAATTACATCAATTACTAGAACGACAACAGGAACTACAACCGAAAGTGAAATGGAAATAACTTCTGAAGAAGAAACAACAACGACATTGGAAACAACAACTGAAACCGAAACAACAGTTCGATTAGAAACAATAAAACCCGAAGAGGAGGTTGAAGAAGAATATAAAGATGAGAAAGGTGATGATAAAGATGATGATGAGAAGGATGACGATGACAATGATGACGATAACAATGATGCCATTGACAATGATGACGATGATGACAATGATGATGTTGACAATGATGACGTTGAACCTAATGGCGATGAAACAAATGTTGATGAGAAAGATTACGATGAGAATGATGACAGTGAGAAAAATGAAGATGACACAGTGAAACCACTTCGTCATGATGCAACCAGGAAGATTGAAATCCCTATTTCTATTTCTCCTTCAGATTTCAAAGCTGGCAGAACGACGCCTGATCCGAATTCAATCATCCCAGATTATGCTGCCTACTATTATGATTATGATAACCAAACTGATACTGAAAATAACGACGACTCAAATTGAAAAGTGATAAATAAATGAATCTCCTGAACCTGTGACCAATATGAGAGAATGATAGTCATAATAATATTTGATATAATAGTTTGATCAACTTTTTTAATTATTAAAACGTGAAAATAAGGTGTTTTGACAATTATTACTTATCTTCAGTTCAACATCAATACCTTGAAATACCTATACCTTACCCTGTTTCAATAATTATTCATGTATCAAGGGAGTGATATAAACTTTTATGGATCGAAACATGTAGGTAACACATCTAGCACGTCTAGGTCTCCCGAAATACATACATTTTATACACGACCAGTATATTTGATTTCTCATTGTGAATATCTCTCTACCTCCCAAACATGATGAAAATACATCATAGAATTAACGTTACCATGGTAACTCTGTCAATTATTCGAAATAGAACTAGACTATTATTCGCTGTCCAATGATGTCATCACAGGATGATTATATTTTGATATCGACCATATCATTCCAGATCTCAGATATATCAAGAGGACTGTGATATTATAATATATTGGACCATCACAACATCACAACTGAAACACAAATGTCCTGAATTATACAGGAATGTAAACGAGTTACCTATACGCTGGGTGAAAAAGTAGTCCGCGTGCGCTAAAGTACCACTTAACGCCCTTAAAACCGGGTAGTAAGGCGCCACTTCACGGCCCCAAAGGCAGGTGGTAATGTGCTACTGGTAACTGGTGATACGCATTCCAGAATGATTTAGGACATCTGTGTTGTTTAATCTATACTGATATTATAAACATGAAAGATTTGTTCGTTCGTTCGTTCGTTCGTTCGTTCGTTCGTTCGTTCGTTCGTTCGTTCGTTCGTTCGTTCGTTCGTTCGTTCGTTCGTTCGTTCGTTCGTTCGTTCGTTCGTTCGTTCGTTCGTTCGTTCGTTCGTTCGTTCGTTCGTTCGTTCGTTCGTTCGTTCGTTCGTTCGTTCGTTCGTTCGTTCGTTCGTTCGTTCGTTCGTTCGTTCGTTCGTTCGTTCGTTCGTTCGTTCGTTCGTTCGTTCGTTCGTTCGTTCGTTCGTTCGTTCGTTCGTTCGTTCGTTCGTTCGTTCGTTCGTTCGTTCGTTCGTTCGTTCGTTCGTTCGTTCGTTCGTTCGTTCGTTCGTTCGTTCGTTCGTTCGTTCGTTCGTTCGTTCGTTCGTTCGTTCGTTCGTTCGTTCGTTCGTTCGTTCGTTCGTTCGTTCGTTCGTTCGTTCGTTCGTTCGTTCGTTCGTTCGTTCGTTCGTTCGTTCGTTCGTTCGTTCGTTCGTTCGTTCGTTCGTTCGTTCGTTCGTTCGTTCGTTCGTTCGTTCGTTCGTTCGTTCGTTCGTTCGTTCGTTCGTTCGTTCGTTCGTTCGTTCGTTCGTTCGTTCGTTCGTTCGTTCGTTCGTTCGTTCGTTCGTTCGTTCGTTCGTTCGTTCGTTCGTTCGTTCGTTCGTTCGTTCGTTCGTTCGTTCGTTCGTTCGTTCGTTCGTTCGTTCGTTCGTTCGTTCGTTCGTTCGTTCGTTCGTTCGTTCGTTCGTTCGTTCGTTCGTTCGTTCGTTCGTTCGTTCGTTCGTTCGTTCGTTCGTTCGTTCGTTCGTTCGTTCGTTCGTTCGTTCGTTCGTTCGTTCGTTCGTTCGTTCGTTCGTTCGTTCGTTCGTTCGTTCGTTCGTTCGTTCGTTCGTTCGTTCGTTCGTTCGTTCGTTCGTTCGTTCGTTCGTTCGTTCGTTCGTTCGTTCGTTCGTTCGTTCGTTCGTTCGTTCGTTCGTTCGTTCGTTCGTTCGTTCGTTCGTTCGTTCGTTCGTTCGTTCGTTCGTTCGTTCGTTCGTTCGTTCGTTCGTTCGTTCGTTCGTTCGTTCGTTCGTTCGTTCGTTCGTTCGTTCGTTCGTTCGTTCGTTCGTTCGTTCGTTCGTTCGTTCGTTCGTTCGTTCGTTCGTTCGTTCGTTCGTTCGTTCGTTCGTTCGTTCGTTCGTTCGTTCGTTCGTTCGTTCGTTCGTTCGTTCGTTCGTTCGTTCGTTCGTTCGTTCGTTCGTTCGTTCGTTCGTTCGTTCGTTCGTTCGTTCGTTCGTTCGTTCGTTCGTTCGTTCGTTCGTTCGTTCGTTCGTTCGTTCGTTCGTTCGTTCGTTCGTTCGTTCGTTCGTTCGTTCGTTCGTTCGTTCGTTCGTTCGTTCGTTCGTTCGTTCGTTCGTTCGTTCGTTCGTTCGTTCGTTCGTTCGTTCGTTCGTTCGTTCGTTCGTTCGTTCGTTCGTTCGTTCGTTCGTTCGTTCGTTCGTTCGTTCGTTCGTTCGTTCGTTCGTTCGTTCGTTCGTTCGTTCGTTCGTTCGTTCGTTCGTTCGTTCGTTCGTTCGTTCGTTCGTTCGTTCGTTCGTTCGTTCGATTTGAAAATAATGGAGTAGTAATGATGCTGGTATAAAATGACTTTTATTGAGTTCAATTACCTATTTATTCAAGTTCAAAAACAATAAAATTATTCTTGTGCTGAAGTTATTGATCAAACAACTCAACTCAACTCAACTCAACTTTATTCATTTTGTAGACCATACAAGGTATAAAACAAGTCACAAGTTACATTTACATTTTGTATATATAGGTACACATATAAGAGTAAACACTAAACATACAATTTCATGAGTAAAACTTTTGAGAAATAGAGAAAATTGATAAAAAAAGAAATAAAAAGTAGAGCCAGTACTAGAAATCCAGAAACTCGTCTACTGTGTAGTGACACTTTTTGAGCAGGTATTGTCTAAGAGATTTCCTGAACTTAAAGTATGTCCCTTGTTCTTTGATGATATGCGGAAGCTCATTATATATTCTGATACCACTAGATATTGGACCATTCAGTGCTATATTCAAAAAGTTTTGAGGTGTAGAATAAGAATAAGAAAGAATAAGTAGAAAATTAAGAGATATTTGACTAGAAACATGAAATATTGAATCAGTTAGAGTAAGTGTTCAAAATGTCCTAGGTTTCGAGGAATACACGATTCTATATTATTTTTTTAAGAATGTATTATTCTTCTGAACAGTTGAGGATCAGCTGTTAGGTCATTTAAGTGATGTTCAAATATGTCTCACAACTCTTGACGTGAATACAACAAAACTGTGTAATCCATGTTCTTAGTCAAATCTGTTTCGATGTTATTCTTGTGTTGTATATATAGGTACACATATAAGAGTAAACACTAAACATACAATTTCATGAGTAAAACTTTTGAGAAATCGAGAAAATTGATAAAAAAGAAATAAAAAGTAGAGCCAGTACTAGAAATCCAGAAACTCGTCTACTGTGTAGTGACACTTTTTGAGCAGGTATTGTCTAAGAGATTTCCTGAACTTAAAGTATGTCCCTTGTTCTTTGATGATATGCGGAAGCTCATTATATATTCTGATACCACTAGATATTGGACCATTCAGTGCTATATTCAAATAGTTTTGAGGTGTAGAATAAGAATAAGAAAGAATAAGTAGAAAATTAAGAGATATTTGACTAGAAACATGAAATATTGAATCAGTTAGAGTAAGTGTTCAAAATGTCCTAGGTTTCGAGGAATACACGATTCTATATTATTTTTTTAAGAATGTATTATTCTTTTGAACAGTTGAGGATCAGCTGTTAGGTCATTTAAGTGATGTTCAAATATGTCTCACAACTCTTGACGTGAATACAACAAAACTGTGTAATCCATGTTCTTAGTCAAATCTGTTTCGATGTTATTCTTGTGATTTATTGTTAAATTAATGAGTTTTGCATCAGAAATGTATTGTTGTTTTCGGTTTTCAATAAATAGGTGATAATTTTCCATAATACTCACTCTAATACATAGCTTTATACCAGCAACAGTTACCACTTCATTATTTTCAAATCGAAATATTCCGAAAACGGAACACAGTATCGAGTTTTACCAAGAGTACCTTTCTGGTGTGGAATTGAATGATGTTCAAGTACACATCAAATTTGGATTGAAAAATCTAACCTCTAAAAAGTTATGTTCAACACTACTCGGTACGAACCGTGTAACTAGCGCCCTCTATGAAAGTCAGATATAAAAACATGCGATGTGTCAGATTCCAAGAAACATCCATACAAAATTTCATCACAATGTTGCCAGTAGTTTCAACATAATCGTAAACAATGTGTAAACAAAATATTGTTTCAACACCTTGTATCTTGAAAACGGATGGCGTTACGACATTTTTTTACTGAGCAAACCCAACTTATATTGCAATGTTCTACCTACCCTAGCAAGGGGGTTAGGTTTTTTTGAAACACTCTGTATAGTACATTACCTGTGAAGCGATGTCGCTAAGAATTCAAACAAGATTTTCATTCTCGAAAATGACCTTGTTCCGAGAATAGTTCATGTTTAAGCAAATAAAAAGATTCGATGCGGAAACTTTTATTTCAGTATGATAACGATAAACTATAGTCAATGGTTCATATATTATAAAGCTTCACGAAGAACTTTTTGTCAGCTTATCAGAATATGGGATGGGATATCCCGTTTTTTCAAGGAAATATGCGTAAAATTCGATCAGTAGCGATAACGCAATGTCAAATAAATGATCATAAAAAACCCAATTCTTTACTTCTGATATAGGGCACCTTGTAAGGTTTAGATGCCAGTCTTAGATTGTGCTCGAATGATAAGAGATCCACGTGAGTACGAAATTGAAATTAGTTATTCATTCTATATGTAAGTACACTCGTCTTCAGTGATCATCTCGCACATGGACGGTGTCAGCTCCCTTTATCACCGCTGCAATAAGAGCTCATACCGTCCAACCGCGACATGTTAACTGAAGACGAGTGTACAACACAATCAACGGCCGAAGGGCTTCTGAACGGTTATCCGAATTTCTAGGATTCCAAATTGACATGGCAACCATGTGTGCAATGTGCCATGAGCGCCACAATAGTCGATTGTCATGATAATTCACTTGAGTATAGGTGTTCACAAAAGAACGTATTTATATTCATGAATTATATCTTGCGAATAATACGAAATTGATTTGTCAGTCCCAAAGGATATTATTAATCGACGTATCGCCAAATGTCGGCCATGCACGGAAAAAAAGATTGGTTGCATCAACCAATCATTTATGCTTGAATTATTCTTG